TATATAGAGAGAGAGAGAGAGAGAGAGATACACATATTTTTCTTGTATTAAGATCCTACATTAGAATTTTTGGGCTGTTCTTCTTTTGTCCTTGTACAACATAAACCCATCCGATTTCTAAAAAGTGACTCACTCTATAAAAAATGAATGCATGGTAGAAAACACAGCTCACATTATTTCAAACAGTTTTCAGCATGGTGGTGGCACTCAGTAGCGTAGTCAGTTGAGGCACTATGCTACAAGCTGGAAGGTTGCGGATTCAGTTCCCAGTGAGGTTGAATTTCTCAATTGACCTAATCCTTCCAGCCACACTATGGCCCTAAGGTCGACTCAGTCTCTAACAGAAATGAGTACCAGGAATCTTCCTGGGGGTAAAGGGCCGCCGGTGCATCAGGCTGACAATCTCACCGCCATCTGTGAGCCGATTGTCTAGAAAAAATGTGGAAGCCTGAACATCTCAGAACCCTGCGGGCCTCCATGGCCTGTTACAGGGATAGCTTTACCTTCTTTTCGAGCATGGTGAATGGTTTAAGTAACTCCAAGGAAAGACAATATGACTTGTATGGGGGATATCTGTAGAGCAATCAGCTATGTAACAGTATATATGTTCCTACATTAAATGAACATCAAAACCATTGTGGTATAAAACAGTGGAAATAATGTGTTTGGAAAATATGTGTACTCCATTTGAGTACACCTTCATAAACTCTTTCTGCGAGAGTCGTACTGAAAGTCATGAGCAACAATTTTTTGTAAAGTAACATGCTTTATATTTGACAAACCAAATACACCACCTCAATCTACAGACCTTTCTTTATTTTTCCACATAATCGCCACTTCTTTGTACACATTTCTCCCAACGTTCTGGGAGTTCGAAAATTCCCCTTCTGTAAAATTCCATTCCAGCCATCCAAAGACACTGGCACTCTGCTTTCTGAATTGTCTCCCTTGTCCCAAAACGTCCACGCAGCTGATCCTTCACAAATCTGAAAAGATGATAGTCAGAGAGTGCCAGATCAGGGCTATAGGAGGGGTGTGGAAGAACTTGCCACCCCATCTTTGCAATTGCATCCAATGTGACCTTTTTGGTCTTCGGTAAATAACCGCGGGACCCAACAAGCACAAACTTTGCTATAGCCCAAGCTTTCAATCATCTCCTGTACTGCACTGTGCCCTATTCCAAGTTTTCAGGCTATTGTGTCCACAGTCACATGCCTGTCATCTTCAATGATCTCATCCACTCTTTCCTTGTTGCGTTCAGTTGAGGCTGTTCGAGGATGACCGCTCCGAGGCTCATCTTCGATGCTGGTGTTCCCATCTTTAAAATGTTTCACCCATCTTCAAACACTGCTCGCACCCATGCACACACTTTCATAAGCACGCTGAATTCAGAAAGCAGTGCGTCAGTGTCTCCGGATGGCTGGAACGGAATTTTACAGAAGGGGAATTTTCAAACTCCCAGAAGCTGGGAGAAATGTGTACAAAGAAGTGGCGATTATGTTGAAAAATAAAGAAAGGTCTGTAGATTGAGATGATGTATTTGGTTTGTCAATAATAAAACCTGTTACTTTACAAAAAATTGTTACTCATGACTTTTAGTACGACCTACGTATATTTTTAATTATAGCTAATGGTTAACATTGTCAGTAGACCAGAAAGGGCTATTACTTCTTCAAAATTAACCAGGAAGATAATTAAGTCTGGAACTAAGCATGTTGGTATAGTGGTAACTCTGTAAATTTCAAGTCGGGAGATACATGGTTTGACTCTCGGCCACAATGAATTATGACCAACAGCTGATGTATGCCTACACATTATACCAGTAATACATAGTTTTAGGATAATGCCCTAAATAGGCTTTGACTGCTTCCCCCCTCATGCCTTATGATTAACAATTCACACTGTCATGTCATATCAGTCCGCGACATGGCCCAAGCGGTTACTCGTTTACTTCCCATCGTGGTGGTCCGGGTTTGATCCCGGGTCTGGTCAAGTGGGATTTGTGGTGGACAAAGTGGCGCTGGGGCAGGTTTTCTCCAAGTACTTCGGTTTCCCTTGCCAATCTTCATTCCACCAATTGTTCCACAATCACCCTCACCTATCATCCGGGGCTGGTACAATAGGCCAGAAGTGGCCGCAGTATGAGGGACTTAGTCCCACCCCACGAGCAATAAAAAAATAATCATATCAATTTAAAACACTGTAGCCATAGCCACTGATATTGATATAGCACTGTGAAATAGCTGTACAAACTAGCAGAATTTAACTAATTATATCACTTCTCTTATGTTTTTGGGTGATGACATGTTGTGGTGGGCTAGTTTGCTGTTTCAATGAATCCAGTTATTTCCAACTTCAGAGCAAACAAGGGACTTGGCTCTGAGGCTAGAAGCAACTGTGTCTTCCAAGACATCAACATACCTTCTTATCACAAGATGGTTTCATCATCCAAGAATGAAAATGAGATTAGGGTCAAAATGCCATTAATACTTTACAGCTTTTGTATCACTTCTTTTGTCATTAGAGCCTATACTCATCATTAGCACTTTCTCGATTCATATACATTGTTAAGTCTGTTTGCAGTGCTTCTGGAGGACCATCATCCAGAAGTGGACACAGAATGGTGTGTGTTAAGAAGCAGCTGATTGTGTTTGGAGGCTTCCATGATAATGTGCGTGACTATAAGTACTTCAATGATGTATATGCCTTTAATCTGGAAAATTACACATGGAAAAGATTAGAACCTGCAGGTACTTAATTAGGGAAGCTTCTGTTTCTACTTGAATAATATGGGCTTTTACTTCCAACAGTGCAAAATTAGATTCTCCATTTCTGTTGTCTCAAACTGGTCTCTAATGTACTTGCATCTCTTCTGTAAGATGGTAGTGTAAGCAGTTCATATTTTAGTCATTTGGACAGAGGTTTTAAAATTTCCCTTGATGATGATGATGATGATGATGATGATAACAGCAACAATAATAATATATTCTGTTCCTTCAGACTTGCTGATCATAAATGCCTACCTTCTTTGCAGTAGTTTCTCACTCTGTTGTGCTCCATGTAAACAGTTCCAGTTTATCTGCTTTATCATGTGATAGAAACGGCAAATTCTTTTATAAAGTGTATAAGTGGAAAAGTGCGGAGAAGCAAAATATGACTTTATTTTTTAACAAACTTATTTCATGCTAGTCCTGATGATCTCTGCCCTTCATTTCCTCATGGCAAACAACTATCTTTTTTTATTTAAAAATTTGAGCTACTGCCTCAAAAAGACCACTGTTCCTATCTATGTGAAGAGTAACTCACCTTTTCCTTTTCCAGCATAGGTACATGGTCCTAGAAAAACAAAAGCTTGTTTTCTTGTCCCCACTGTTCTATGGACCCACACTTTTCACATAATACGAGGGGCAGTCAGAAAGTTCCCGGCAACGCTTACCTAATCACCTTCAAAGTAGGACCCTTGCACGCACACACTGCCATTGTTGGAAGCAGCGCTGGAAGGCTTCTTTTGGAATCTTCTGGAGCTCAGCCGTCGCATTCGATTTGATGTCCTCCATGGTTGCAAAACGTGTCCCCTTGAGGCCCATTTTTGAAGTAGGGAACAGCCAAGTCACTTGGAGCGAGATCCAAAGAGTATGGTGGTTGAGTGATGACAGGAATGTTTTTCTCGAGGAGGAATTGCTGCACAACAAGCGATGTATGGCTCGTGCGTTATCGTGATGCAGAAACCATTGTCCCTGCCATTTGTCGTGCCGCTTCCTCCGAACTGCATCGCGCAACCTCTGCAAAACTTGCACGTAGAAATGGCCAGTAACAGTCTGTCCAGGTGGTATGAACTCATGGTGCACCAAACCGTCATGTCAAAGAATGCAATGAGTATCACTTTGTCTGTGGATCTGATGAGGCGTGATTTTTTTGGCCAGGGAGACGACGCTGTGTGCCATTCCGATGGCTGCATCTTTGTCTCCGGGTCATAGGCAAACACCAGTGACTCATCACCAGTGACGATCTTTTTGAGAAACGTCGGATCCTGCGTACTTTTGTCAAACAGATCACCAGTGACCATCATGCGGCATTCCATCTGATCCGTGGTCAGCTGCCTCGGAACAAACTTCGCACTGACGCGTGTCATCTTCAAATCATTGGACAAAATGGCATGAATGGATCTGTGAGAGATACCAACTTCTTGCTCCAACTCCATGATGGTCATTCTTCGATCACATTGAATCAGCTGTCGCACTTCTTCAGTTCTGGATGTCGAAGGTCTCCTGCTGCACTGGTCATCCTCTAATGTCTCCTGCCCATTCTTAAACCAAGAAAAACAGTCATAAACTGCGGATTTCTTTAGTGCAGTATCACCGTAAACTTGCTGCAGGGCTGATTGCATCTCTGAAGCAGATTTTCCCAATTTGCACATGAACTTGATGTTCGCATGCTGTTTGAACTGTGACTGCGCCAAATGAACAACACTCACATCTAATTCAAACAGAACAGTAACAACACTGCACACTGAAACCTGTCCAGACCTGTTGCGCCTGCGAGCAGACATGCTGAGCTCCCCACCACAACAGTGTGTGCACTATTTTATTGCTTGTTCTCTGTCTGCAGGGGAATTCCGGGAACTTTTTGACTGCCCTATGTATGACTGTCTCTGAGCCCTATTTCATGCAAATAATAAATCTAGCATTTCCCTCTCCTGTATTACCACACATTTCTTAAATAATTTCGTCTCCACAAAGTTAAGCCTTCCTGTTCATAATTGCTTTAATTTTATTGCTTTTCAACAACTTGATTCCCATCTCCAACAAAAGGTTTATACAGAATTGTTCCTTTTAAATTTGTCAGATGAAGATCATGGTCGACTGACGTGAACAGTGTGTCATTTTTTATGGTACACCATCAAAGAATCTGCACACTTCAATACACACTGCATATTTGACAAAATTGCTGGAGTTTCCATGGACATCTTTTTCCTTCATTGGCAGGGAATTTTAACCATTTGTTTTATCTGCTTACACATTCTGAAAACCCAACACAGAATCTGCAGTGAAATCTGCCATTGGGCTTTTTATACTAGATACTTTTCTGAAATCTTGTTGAACACATTCAACATGATCTGCCTTTCATTGTTGTTTTAAAGGTTTGCCTTGCTCATGTTTCACCAGTGTGGATGAATCAATTGACTGTTCTTTCTCAAATTTTGCAATCAGCTTTTCTTAACAGACTGTATGATCATATGAATGCGTTTCCTGGGATATCAGATTTTATGGATGACATGTAACTGAAAGATATATAAACAACATAATGACAGCTTTTTTTTTATTACTATTAGCATGTTCCTTACAGGTCACAGGAGAAATGTATCTTAAAACATGGGCTGCAAAACTTGCTCTAACAAGAACCAATAGATCGCTCATGAGATGTATGCATATGTTTGTATTTGCTTTGAACTTATATTGCAGCTGCATACAGAAGATATGATACACTGATTTTCCAGTCAATGTTCTTTTGGAGGATTAGATTTCAAACATGAAATTAATCAAAGCACTGAAATACTCTATCATAATACACATCAGAAGGGATAAGAAACAGAGTAAAATCATATATGACTAGGTAAAATAGGATGTATCACTTACCATGGGGAAACTGATGGGAGATGTGTCATGCAACTGGTGAGGTGTAGGTAGAAAACTGCAAGTTCTGTACTGGCTTTATTCTCAGGAACCCCACCTGCTCCTCGATCAGGATTTGTAATGGTGGCTTTACCCGATGGAAAAGTGCTGATCTCTGGGGGATTCAGTAAAGAGAAAATCAAACGGGAAGTCGATAAAGGTGTAATACATACAGATACGTTCCTACTTGTACCAGAAAGTAAGTATTTTTCACTCAGTTGAGACCAGCCAATTAGCAGTCCATAACTTAAGCGACAAGTCATTTTTCTGCCCACTGATCATTCCATATTTGTTGTGAGATCAGCTTAACTTTCCTTCAGCAGTTGAATGTGTCATAAGTTTGGCTGTTTTCTCATATTGAGGACTATATTTTTCATGCTAATTAATGTGTGCAAAGGTATTCTTATATAAAATTTTATGTAACAAATAATACTTAGTCTCATTAAATTTAATAATTATTGTGCAAGATAATGTGTTTTGAATATTTGGCAGCATTATATAGACTGAAAATAGGGGCATTATAAGTGCAAACTATCCGCAAATAAAAAGATGAATATGAAATTGTACATATAAGAGAGTCAGTAAATAGGTCACAAATGGACATAAAATATAAAACATGTGATATTCGAACGTGAAAAAAATATTTCTTTCTAGATATATCCTCCACCAACATTGATACACTTGTCACAGCCACTTCCACACCTCCATATCAACCTCTTTGTAGTCAGTGAAACTTCTGCCACTAAGGTGTTTTTTAGCAGACCAAACAGATGGAAGTCACTAGGGGCCAAGTCTGGACTGTAAGGTGGAAGTTCAAGAAGTTCCCACTGTAGTTCTTGAATTCTCTCCTGGGTTGCTCAGGCTGTATGGGGTCTGGCATTGTCATGATGAAGCAGTGCTCCTCTTGCCAGTTGGCTAGGATGTTTTCTGAGAACTGCATCGGAAGTTTCAACAGAAGTTTGCAGTATGATGCAGAATTTCTGTTTTCACCATGCTTCTGAAAATGGGTTAACAGTACTCCCTGAGAATACCAAACATTTAAGCATAACCTTCCAAGCTGATGGTATAACCTTAAACTTTTTGGTTGAAGGTGAACTGGAATGTTTCCATTGCACTGAAGCACACTTTGATTTGGGTTGGTAGTGATGCATCCATGATTCATCCCCAGTAACAATCCTGTTAAGCATATCTTCTCCTTCATCTGCATACCATAAGAGATGTTGCAAGGACAGACCCATTCAGTTCTCCGAGCATCCACCATGCACACACTTCCCAAAACTTCAATCGATCAGGCATTTTGCTGGGAACAACCTAGTGCAGTTGCTACACTGCCTATCACTCATTATCCTCCTGTCTGCTCTAAGCAAACCCGCTGCACAGTTGCTTCTGTCACAATTTCAACAGGGCGATCTGGCTAGGCATCATCTGCGACTTCAAAGCATCCTTGAGAGAATTTCTCAACCCAGTTGTGAACCTCTTTACATGATGGACACTTCCCACCATGAACAGGAAACATTTCTTTATGAATATCCTTTGCATTGAGTCCTTTTGTCCACAGAAAATGCTCAACAGAATGCAGTTGTTCGGTAGTACACTTCTCAAGCACAGTTGCCATTTTGACTACTGAAACCAGCCTCTGAACATGTGCATGTGCATCTGCTACCTAGACTGTCATGTAGCTGGAGTGTGCTGCTACCTAGTGATACACATGGAAAACATATCCATTACAGCTGTTTTGTTTCCATTTGTGACCTATTTACTGACTCCCTCATACATGATTCAAGCAACTAATTATTCCATTCCTAACCATAGAAGCTTATATAATTTTGATTCTTTGGTCATCCATATTTGTTCTGATTTTACAAGTACTGTGTGTAATTGTTTGTTATAACTTAGAAAAACCACCTTTTTGAGTAGCTGTCCAGGTTGATAGAACTGGTTGTCCCATTTTGATTCTGTTTCAGTAAGATTTCCTGATATGAAGTTTTGCCAGATCTGTTTACTGTGTGTGCCACTGCTATGTCACAGAACTTATGTGTACACATTCCTACACCACTAATATAAAGGAGACATTAATTTAAATTATATAGTTTTGTCCTCTTTATTTTCTTTTATTTATTAAATTAACTGCTTTTGTCATTCTGAAAATTTCCAGATGGTATATTATGCTAAGAAATAAAGAACAAAGAAAGAAATAAGATCTAAAAGTTTGTGGGAAAACTTGTGTTCTTTATATTGATACCATCCAGAGAATTTATCTCGCCAGTGATGACTTCTATTCGGATAGTACTCGGGTGCTAGGCCTCATACCTGTGGAGTTCTTTAATGTTTTATCTTAACTCTTGCAAATGGTTTAGCCTGTGCTTGGTTTGTATACCCTGTCTTGTGTTGGTGCAGGTGTCTGGAGATAGGGAGTAGCTCTATCAGTTGGGCCCAGCTGACTAGGTTTTACCTGAAGAAAGAGACAGAATCCAGTCTCCAAAATATTGTATTTTAAATAAAAGCAGGATGATGGATAATGTCCAGAAACATAATATGTGTAAGAAAGAAATGTTCTTTATAAACCTTATCAAGGATGAACACATTTATAATTCTAGTTTCACTTGCTCATTATGCAGAAAATGATGTATCAGGACTGAAATGGAAGTGGGTAGCAGTGAAACAGCTTGGAGCTTACATCTCACCACGCTGTGGCATGGCATTAGCCATGGCACCTGGCAACAGAGCCTACGCATTTGGTGGAGTATGGGATGTTGAGGAGAGTGAAGAGGATCTGGCAGGCACATTCTACAATGACCTTTACATCTTGGATTTGGATAAAATTCTATGGAGGAAAGGTAATTCTATCCAATAATTAACATACGATGGGGTACCCAAAAGAAACTGAACTAATTTTTTTGTGGGCAGAGCTTTTGTAGTACCGCGTTTTGCCGCTATGAGTGCATAGAGCTAACATTCCTGAGTTGATAAGCTGACTACTGTTGCTTCAGAAGGTAAGGACTAGTTTCGGCAGAGTTTATAGTGACAACTGTTTTGTGTGATCGTCGTTTTTGCAATGGCCCAAACACATGAAAATGTTGAAAAAATTCGTGAAATCATCAAGGAAGATTGACGACGGACCATTGAAGAAATTGTGGAGCTGTCGGGAGTGACTTGGAGCTTAGTTCAGTGAATTTTGACAGAAGATTTGGGAATGAAAAGGGTGGCTGCGAAATTCGTGCCACGACTGCTGATTGCTGAACAAAAACAAGGTCGCGTGGAAGCATGCTGTGCTTTGAAAGAAGAGTCCCGAAATGATCAAAACTTTTTTTCAGCGTTTTGCTGATGTTGCTGAGGTGAAGGAAAAAAACGATGGAGGCGCTGTCAAACATCTCAAAAGATGAATTTAGACAATGTTTTGAAAAATGGAATAAAAGACTAGACAAGTGTATTAGTGTAAGTGGAGAGTACTTTGAAGGGGATTGAAGGTTTGTGCTTAAAATTTGAATAAATAAGTTTAAAAAAAATAAGTTCGGTTTCTTTTGGGTACCCCCTCGTATGCTATGTTATACATAATGAGGAATCTATGCTTTAAACAGGTCACCTGCTTTATTATATTCCATGATGCACTCTTTCTTGAGAAACTAATAGTGTCTTAAGTGATCAAGAAATTCCAATTTTATGGAAACTATAAAGGTTTATTACCATGTTCACAAAAGCTTTCCTTTGAACCATATCATGAGCCAGTTGAATCCTGTGATCATCATCATCATCATCAGTAATCTGTCAAGACGACAGGTCCACAGTCTCTTCCAAAACAGTTCCTCCACTTAATGCGATCTAGAGCTTTCTCCTTCAAATGACAGTATCCTCTTCTGTCCCCAAGGTCATCCAGCATCTTTTTACGTGTTCTTCCTTGTCTTCTTGTCACTTCTATCTGCCCCTCTATCTTTCCTTCAATAACTTCTTTTAGAAGGCAGTTTCTGCGTAAAACATGACCAATCCAATTAGCCTTCCGTTTTCTTATTTCGTGTAGGATATTCCTCTGCTCACTGACTCTAATTAACACTTCTTCATTTCTCACATAATCGGTCCAACTGATCTTCTCCATCCTTCTCCAACACC